CCAACCAGCAGCCATGCATGCAGAAAATTAGTTTTCAAAATGAAAAGATTCTGAATCATCTGCATTTGTAAAATCTTGGAGTGAGGGAAAGATGACAGAAAAAAGAAGATCTCTTCACTGTATATGCTTGCCAGATGAATCACTAATCAAGCTGGTGATTCCACATGTGCACCATTTAATGTGTTTTTCTGAATGATGTGCACCCTCAGAATGATAAAATTAGCTAAATGCATGGGTGAAAAGTAAAAATTATGTTTTCAAAGGCAACGCCGGGGACACTAACTCACAGGGTCACAAGGTGCAGATAATACATTTAGCATTTATTTTGCTATTTTCAGCTGAGGATGGACATTTTTAGCAGACTGTGATCTCTCTCCTGCTCAGCTGACGCTGACGTGCTGTGGCATGAAGAGCCGTAGGAGCAGCCAGAGACGGAGCTGGGAGCAAGTTTTGGTCTGCAGCACGAGAAAAGTCAGCTGCAGACGCCTGCAGCGGCAAATCTCCCTCCCTCCCAAACGGACAGCTAATCACCAGGCGGGTCAAAATGCAGTCATTTGTTCACTGCTCTGTGACTCAATGCAGGCTGTACTGCTGTGGTGTTTTGGCTAACTTTGGTCAGTGACTCCCTAATTGCAAAAATAAATTAAAAAAATTCACAAGGTTTCTCCATCATTGCGTGAGTTAAATACAGTAGATTCCATTTTCAAATGTATTCTTTGAATTTCAAAATTCTTGAGAATCACACAATACATGGGTCAGAACTCACCCTTATAACCAAAACGTTTTTAACAGATTTTGACCTTTAGTACAGACCATATAATGATTACTTCCAAGAAAAAGGAGGTTTTTTGGAGGTGACATTTTCATTTTTTTTTTTTTTGCTGTTGCAGGCCAATTTCAGAGACCAGGCAGTGGAAAATTAGCTTTAGGGGAAAATTAACTTGTCTTGATTCTTCAATCACATCGAGTTTAAATATGTGAGAGGGGAACATGGACCTTAAGTTGCACATTTCTATGACTAAAAGAAACCTGAAGGACAAAGATTGTAGCTAAAAATCATCTGAAAGGGTAACTTTATACAAAGACTAAAACTAAAATGTTGTCAACAAATAAGCAACAAATTCCTTCTCATGTTACATCGAAAGACTAAAGCAAATGGACACATTCAATCAAGTGTGCATGTAGAAGATCAGCTGTAAGGCTTCATGGGGGAAACTGCTCCATGATTTGCTCGTGCTAAATTTCTATCGAGATCTATATCGATAGAGACTAATTGATTGATATTCTGATTGGATTTTATCAATAATAACAATTTAAATTCATGTTAATTTTGGACAGCATTGTATCCCTTTATTGTGTTGGTCCTGGGGGAGCTCAGCTTTTCTTAGATACAAGTCAGCTCTAAGGAACATAAGGTTTTAGAACTACGGATGTAACAGACTTGTTTATTACTCGGGTAAACAGCAGGGCTTTGACTGTTTACTGCCACTCCCCACACACCAACAGAGATTCACTCGGGTGCACACAGAGTTCAACGGCTCCTCTTTTTAGTTGATCAACACTCTGTTCACAGTAGGAATGTTGTGTCTGGATCCCAGAACTGTCAAACAAACAAGGGAACAGTGAAATGTGAAACAGTGACTCGCAGGATAACAATGTGATACAGTTTGTGCACTGACAGACATGTTCAGCTGTCATTTAAGTGGAGAATTAAAACTTTCTCCAAAAAGAAACATAACACATTCATCTTGTTACTATCTTGGGAGTAATTCTAGGCATCCCAAAAACACAAATAAGATCATCCTTTTTTGATCCCCAGAGAAGAAATTCATCAAAAATCATTGGAGAGCAAGAACACAGGCACACACTACCACAAATGATTATGCAGGGGACCGCACAGCCGCAGTGCAATGCCAGAGCCTTGCCACCTTCTTGAGCAGGGAATATCCAACGCCAGGTTACAATTAACCCTGATTAAATGCTCTATCATCCCAAGCATTGCTCATTTTACCTCAATTTTACCAATTATTACAGAAACAAACAAACTCGTTACAAGTTGTGGGGCTGTTTGCCCGGTGTTGCTTGAGGTCAAATGAGTTGTCGATCACATGAGCCGGGGATTGAGCAACCAATAATCCACTTATATAAAAACAGATGAAATACCAACAGAAATAATTCTGTGGTTGTTTTCTAAGCTTACAGTATGCAGAGACTTAGCGCTTTACTCTACAGTTGAATACACTGCAAACATTCAAAAGAATATGTGTAATTCAAAGCTAAAAATATTCAATTATACTTAAGATAAAGATAAACCTGCATATGACAAGTCCAGACAAACTTCTTATTACAAGCAAAAAAATAAGATAAGAATTGGTTTGAATGAGTAAAACTATATGCCAATGCAGCAATTACATTTTACTTTAATTAAATTAGGTTTAATGTCTTTTTTCAAGAAAACTTCAGTAAATTTAGCGCTGCACTGGTTAAAGTTTTGAAGTTATTACAGACAGGCCTTACACCTAGTATCCTGAAATAATATTTTTCTCTGGACTTGTCAGGTGAATGTCACCTATTTTAATAGTAATTTGATATTTTTGACCAGTAATAAGACAAATACACTTGCTAAGACTAACATTTCGTAGTACAGATAGACTCAACAGTGACATTGAAGGAACAAATTAAGTTCCTTAAAGATCCCATATCATACTCATCTTGACCTTTCATGCCGTCAGTCTCTAAAACTTATAGAGTAGCTTTGCATGATTTGCAGCCTCTACCTGAAACAGTTAGTTTCAGCTGTTGTCTCTTTAAGGCCCCCCTCCCAACATGCTTACTTTCTTCTGATTGGCCAGCTCTCTGGAAGCCTTCCAGTGGGGGGAGAATGCTGCAGGGCTGCCAGGGTAGGGCATCTCTCCATTGTTGTGAGAAGAGAGCCTATAGGTAAAGAGGTTTCAACAGCTTTCATAGAGGTTTGAAGCCGTCTCATGAAATCCTTAGTTTCATATCGGAAACTAACGTGTGTAAACAAGGCATTTAGATCACTTTCACACTTATCCTTTGATTACTCCAATGTTTACCTCATGAGCTGAAACTTTGCCCACATTTTGTATGGGCATTCAGCATTGTAACACGATATGTAAGTTTAAAAACAAGGAGCAGCATAATAGGTCAATTTTTAAAAAGTGAAAAAAGTGTCCGTTTCAGGCTGGCTAATATATTCATACTGTGTTCAACAAACACTCTCTCAAGTGTCAAGGCAAGAACTGAAATCATGAAAGATCACAGAAGTCAGTCTTAAAAAGACATCATCTTGAGCAGAGGTTAACGGGAAAATGTCGACACATGTGACAGTAGAAGTTCAAGCAAAGCTCTAATTGCATGTTCAACCCATGTTATTCATGTGTGGCTGAGCAAACATAATGACTGAAGACACAAATCACACGACACCTCAAGGCAGGTCTCTGTGACAGGGGGGAGGAAGGGGTGCATCTTGCTACACGTGTACACACGTGTTCACATGTGTGTGTACGTAAAAAAAATAAGGGGGGGGGGGGGGGGTTCTTGTCAAAGGGCAAACACAACCATACAGCGGCGCCGAGGACGACGCCCATGGCAGGAAGCTGACACTGTGCATCAGTCAGGGGACTGAGGACAAAAGCGCTACACACATCTCCTGTGATTCCTGAACACATCACAAGCTACTCGAACACAACCTGACAGCCTGAGACGTTACAGCATCACAGGGAAAACAAGACCTGACTCAGTCACACCAAACTCTCTTTATCCAGTCAGAGTTTGGGTTGAGATAAAGAGGGGGGGAAACATTTGTAAGAAGTTGAAAAAAAAAACAATTCTGAGTGCTCACAGTGAGAGGGAAAGGACAGAAAAGAAAGGAGGGTAGAAGGGAGTAGGGGAACGAAAAGAAAATAGAGTACAAGGACGAGCAGCAGGAAGGTGACACGACGAATAAAGAGGAAGAAGAAAATGTAGAGTATTGACATGAGTGAATTAAAGAAAAAAAAGAAACAGTGTGATCAAAAGCAAGAGAAGAGGGCACAAAAGAACAAGTGCAAGATAGAAAAAGGAGGAGAAGAGAAAAGTAGGTTATAAAAAGTACAAATAAAAAGAGTCTAAAGCCATGCTAGCAGCTCTGAAAGCTAGACTACAGTATAAGCCAAATGTTAATATCAGCATGCTAGAATTCTCCATAAGGTCATGCTAACTTGTAACTAAAAATCCATTTGATAAAAGATTTAAGTTTGAAATGTTCACCATCTTGTTTGAACGTGGAGTTGGAGTTAGGTAAGTTAGGGGATCACTACAGTTTTTGAGCTCGATCTTCTGGCTTCCATGATTGAAATGGTTGTTCTGATGTTTAAGTTTAACACTGGACCGGCACACATTGCCATAGAGTGGCAAACCTCTGGTGTTAAAAATAAAGTTAATGCAGAAGCACAGGTGGATGCAGTTCCTTGAGTGTCCATTTGAGGCTTTTCTCCAACGGCCCCTGAAGTCGCTTACACACACATGAAAGAAAAAGGCCATTTTGAAGGCAGAAATAAAGCACACACTTGGTAGCTCATAGTCAAACCTCATGTCTTTATCTGCACACACTGTAAAAGGGTTATTTTTTTTTTTTTTTACAACTCATCTGTTTTGATTTTTACTTAGCTTACATACTGGATCATCCAGACATTTAATAATTTGCTCCCCACTCAAACACGTCAGCCCCCCCTCCCTGTAGCTCTCTGCTTTGCTCTAAATGATAAAACAAAAACACTTTGATGGATATGAAGTGAATATTTTCAAAGACATTCGGTCACAACATCATTCTCCATGCCTCTCTTTTCTAAAACTCCACTGTGAATTATAGTACAATTAAAACAACCATACACTACAAATACTCTCCAGAAGAACACAGACAGACATTGTTTGTGCAAAGATGCTCTTGGGAAGCCTCGTCGAGTAAAATAACCTGCCTGCCGCAGTGATGCGCTCACCTTTCGTAGTTTCGTCTTCGATAGGCTGCTTGAAGAGGGTGATGTCCTTAAAAGTGCAGAGGAACAGGACCACCTTGTCGTTCTCGTTTCTGATGGGAGCCACTTGCATGTAGAACCACACCGGACTTCCTGTAGAGACGTAGTATGTATGATACTTAACTTTGTCCTTCATCTTTAATTTCTGTAAATGTGTTGATATGACAGCCGATATACAGACTGAGAAAATAGTGAAGAAGGCCCGTACAAGTTGACATCTTTAAACTTCCTGTATTGGTAGTGAAAATATCAGTTCACAAGCCCGATGTTAAGTCGCAAATCATCTCACTCGAAGGGCTAGAAACAGATGGTAGGGGAAGCTGACGACGGGGTCTGTCGGACCGCGGTGACAGGACACCTTCAATCGAGAAAGCATAGCTGCCTCGTTTCCACTCGCCTCTTGTTTACAGACCAGCTCCTGGTTCATTTCCTTTTTCCATGTTTTGTTTCGGTAGTGGCAAAACACTATCAATATTGCCAATTTTGACACTAAAATCTTCTGCTGTGAACCCTAAGCACCGACTGTGCCAACCTCTAAGAGAACAAGGAGTTGTAAGCGAAAAATGCGAGAAGCTACATTTAAGCTAGGCTCATGATACACCTTAGTCTACGCTTAAAGTCTGCCTAGCTTGATTAAAAACTACTCTACAAAGTAGGAAAGATTACAATCAATACAAAAGTCAATCGTCTGAAAGACTTTTCTTGAATAAAATCTTTTTGTTTATAAAAATTGTGTAGATTATTGATAAATCTCGCTAGCTAGCTAAGGGGCTGTTGAGAGGATTACAGTAAGAGCTGGCTCTTAAAACAAAAACTTTATATGAATTAGGTAGTGTGCGTATATTTTTCTCACATACTACCAGATATTCATAGTTTTCAGTCACTTGACAAAAAGAGCTCAAGAAAGTGGCAGCCATCATTGAACACTCAAATGTTTACATCACCTTACAACCAGCACCTCATGCAGCACACTCAGCTAGCTCCTGTCAGAACTTCACTTTGTGATCTCTAGTGGAGAATCCTTTACCTTACACAGCTGCCAGGATGAAAGCCTACATAAGTAAGGACAGCCGTATTTATTTTCAATGTGGCTGGCTCAATGAAGCTGCCGTTTGGGAAGTGAAAGGCATGAAATTCTAATAGCATAAATCAAGAATCTCCTTGTAAATCTGTACTATTTCCCAAAAAGGAGTTTGTAATTCAAAATATTAGTTCTATAGGCCGACTGCAATCCAGGATTTCTCTCAGTCTATAGAAATAGAGGCAGTGAACAGGGGTTATTAAAGGTGTTATATCAACTTCTGTGAAGCAATTTAATCACGATCGTCAATTTCTTTGAATTATGCTGACATTACAATCTTGGCTTTCATTTTCATTAATGCTTTGGATGGTGTCGAGAACAGCAGAGACAGACATTACCAAATGACATAACCAACCATGAGAATTCAGGTGTCCTTTTAACAATTAGAAGACGTTTTAAGATTAACTAAATGAGCAGTTAATAGTTCATCTGTCCCGTCCTGTAGTACAGATCATTTTGTGCCTACAGTACAAGCAACCTCCAAGGATTGTCTGATGTACCCAATAATCTTCATAAAGAACACTTTGATCCTTCCTTTCCTCCCTCTCCATGTTATTTATTCTTACATCATGTTTAAAAAACCCTCAAACCGATTGAGATTTTTTACCAAGTTAACACGTTCAGGGAACTCACTGTTCTTTCTTCACAGAAAACTTGAAAGGGTCAAGGCTTTTGTGACATTATAACCTCCTCTCACACTTGTAGGAGAGCAAAAGTTCTGCAAAATTGCCTTTACTTACTGTCATCATTTTTTGTGGATGCAGAGCAGGATTTTCTGGCACAACTTCACCAACTAGCAAGGTGCACGAAGAGTGAAAGGCTTGAAGAGGTCAAAAAGCTCCAGCAACACAAATTAACTAATTTGTTAATAAAGTTAATCTTCTTGTTACAATGGATGTATTTGGCTTGTGGATGTCATTAGGGTCATAATTTCTGTGGATATAAGTTGTTTGTTGTCATCATCCATCTCATTTATATCCAGCCTCTATACAGGCCCGCGCTCTCTTGATTTGTCAGCAAGTTTGAGCCATTTCAAAATTGATCTTTTCATATTTTACTGTTCCTCCCTCTCTGCCTCGTGCTCCTCCGCCTCGCATTTTGCTCTTGTGGGTGATCACTCTTGAAGACAGGAACACTTGGAACTATTTTTGTCTGCACTCTTTGTCTGTTATGCTCCTCTCCGATGCTACAGATCCAAAATTCACAGCTCACTCTTTTGCTGCGCTATCAACTGGCAGAAGAATATGTCTCTCTACCCGAGTTGTGCAGGTCAAGTTATGTTCCAAAAATGCTTGATTTCTTAAATGTATTTCCATTAAGAGTTATTAAGAAATAGCAATTTCTCTTAAATACTTTAGCTGATTCCAAACCATATATCTGTTATGTGGCACTCAATACTGGCAATGGTTCAAATCCCCCATACCTCAAAACACATGAATAATAAAAGACTATACATTTCAAACAAAGGTGCATAATGAATAAATTAAAGGCCTGATGAATTAATTTATGAACTTTTTTTCATTAATCATTTATTCTTATATTGCATGAATTCATAAATCAGCTAAATGCTCGTCTAAATAAAACTTCAAGCACAAGAGGAAATTTAATAGTAGCGGTACTCAAGCAAGCTTGAGAAGGAAACTACAGTGTCGACATTTCACTAGCAATGTCTCTTACACATTATACCCAATGAATTTCACTTTCTCTAAAAAAACATATAAAGGAATCTAAGTCAGATAGTTAGACAGTTGGAAAAAGGAAAATAAGGAGTTAAAGCAACATTATAGAGAAATCGCCGTAGTGCGCTTTGGCGCCTATCGAAGGTCTGTGAGTTCAATCGTCTTATAAACACACAGTGTTTTGTTATAGCCAGCACGGCAGACTTGCAGCCTACTGCTTCGTTAAGCTCTCACAAACGTGTTAGAGCCTATCTTATATGTACACTTGTCCAGCTTCTTGCTCAGTCTCTTTTTTTCTCTTCTTAGCTCATCACCATCACCGTCCTCTATCCCTCAGCTTCAGCCATCATATCAAACAGTACAGAGACGACCTAACTGGCGTTGGTTTTGATTTAATGTTGGTGTGTGAATTAGTGCTGTGAAGCCGTACGCACTTCTCCCAAGAGAGCCGAGTCACTGCCAAAGTTACATAGTGCAGAAAGCAGGAGACAGGGGTGTTATGTGGACATGGGATAGACCACATTCTACCTTTTGAAAGTTATTGTAATATTAGGTCGACTTTGAAAGGACTCCATTTTACCTTAAAAGTAATTTAATGAAGTTTTATTATTAATTTATCAAACAAAACAATCTAATACAAACATCAATCTCTCATTTCAAATGAAAAAGAGCAGAAAGAAGTATAACCTTCTATAATCTGCTCCTCTTTTACAAAAAATTAATGAACAATTACGGCTGCTCTGAAAAAAAATCTATTTCATTTTACAAATTAGCTTTATTAACAAGGAATATGCACACACAGGGGATTTGACTACAGTTTATTTTTTTATTCATGATAAAGACAAATTTAATGTTTAACTTAGTTTAACAAAGGAACTTGTGAAGTTATATTGCAGGAAGTTGATGCCAGCGAAGCAGAACAGTAAACCTTGTTCATCTTTTGTTCTTAAAATAAATTTGTAAAAGTTACAAAACCCGGCAGCACCAAGAGACCTCTAAGGAAAGAAGTCGTTTGAAAGTCCAATAATATAATCTGGATTATTTAAACCACTGGAGATCAGTGCAACTAATTTACTCTACCAAGCACTAGAGATGAAAATTAAAATGTAAGTATCTCCATAATGAAAAATACACACTGTTTGTGAATACAAGCTCTCCAAACTTGAAAACTGGCTTCTCATCTGGGTTTTATTTCTTTCAGATTAAATAAATGTGGGTAGGGTGGACACGGCAAGAAAATGTGATGTCACTTTGGCTCGTGGAAATTGTGAGCAGCATTTTTCACTATTTTCTGACATTTAAAAATAATGCTTAGTCTCAGCAATTCACTCTATTCTTCTGGATATATAGTCGTTTTACAAACACATGACAGAGGAGACAAATAGTCAGGTAATGAACACTCACTGTTCTTCCTGTAGAGAAGGATTTCGAAGCAGTTGGACTCATAGTTGTCGAACGTCTGCCTGACCTTGTCGATGGACTTCTTGTCGGTCAGCTCTCCGTACATAAAACTAGGCAGAAAAAAAAAAGACACAGCAGCGATCAATGCTGACTTTTAATCTCTACCCCTCTGTTACAGTATATCACACATGCTTTTAATGGCATTGTCAATGTGTTTTCTTACCGTAACCAGGTCCATTAAGTTTTATGCTTGCTTTATAGAGTAAAGAGTCACGGCAGCAGCATAAATGTCACTCACTGTGAAGGACTGAGGATCGGTTTGGGATTGGTGCAGTTTGCATTTCCTGGCATGGTTGTAATTATTATTCCTCAAAGGGCTGAGGACGTTTTAATCTGCGCTTAATAATTAGTCTGAGTGATTAGATTCTTTCCCAACAGCCTCAGTGTCCTCGAGGACACGAAGGTTGTCACATTAAATGGAACAAAAACACATTGGAATATTTCCTGGTGTTTTCACACAAAAAAAAACCCTTCTAGGAAAAAAACTTTAACTTGTGTAATTGGTCTTATGTGTTTGTAGCTAGTGTACTTGTTTAATATTAGATGAGGAATCCAATCATCCCCGACCGCTGAGTGCAGTCACATTGAATCTTAAAGTGCATCTATGATCTAAAAGTTCCTCCCACTTCCTAGAATGGATGCGACCACTGCAGAGAAAATGCTCTGCAGTGGTCGCATCCATCCAAAATGATCAGGAAATGTGGTTCATAACCTTACAAGTGAAATAATTGTAATGTACATATTTGGTAAATTGTCTCCATTAAGGGCCTGTGTCCATTGAGGGCACTTTTTGCACTGGCAGTGCCCACAAACTCAGTTTGAGAGCGCTTCTTAATGGAGCTTATTGTTGCTAGGTTAGGAAATGGAACTTCTGCTTCCCTCGGTAGCCTTAGGTTGGTTTTGGTAGCTCTGTATGCTTAATATTTTCCTTTAATTGAGGAAATATCACCAAGAAAACATGAAAGTTATGTTAATGAATTCTGTCCTGGCATTAGCAGCAGCTCTAGACCTGGAAACTGTTCCCTAGGAAGAAGAAAAACAGAGTCTGGCTAGTGAGAGGACACTGGCCCTAATGCTCTTGCAGTTTCAACCACAAGTGCAAAACTCAACACGAAGCCAAGCTAATCCCTCCCACAGGGTTTGACTGACAGCACTGAGAACAAAAAAAAGACAAACAAATCAATGCAAAATGTTTTGTTTTGAACATATTTAAGCCTGGAAAAGCAGAAACTTGATGAGTTGATAAGTAGCGATAACTAGTTTATTTTGAATGAGAATAAACAGTAGTAACAACTGATAGAAGAAAGGTGTGGTACATTTAAACATCCTTCAGCTAACATGCTAATGGGCTTAGAATATGAACACAGCCCAGTGAAATAATTAGATGACAATTTAGAGCTGGAGCCCTAGAGAAATGTTAAAATTAAAATGATAATTCAAGCCTTCCTGATTAAATTTGGACCTTAAGTTTCATTTTGTATTAACATTAAATAGGATGGAAATCAGGGGACATTATTACAAAGTATCAGGAGTTCATATTTAATTCTTAACAAAAATGCAAGTTGTAGCAGGGAGGCTCAGTTTGAGAAGTAGTTTACAGTTTTTGTTGAAGAAGTGGACTTTTCCCTAATACGACTGTTTTGGGAAAATAATTGTATAATAAGACTAAAAAGAAAAAACAGCCAAAGGACACTTTGTGAGTCTGGGGGCAAAGGTTGAAGGGCCCAAACTATATTTAAGATCTTTTCATGGGCCTTCAGCAGATTTAAAACAGTCTATAATATATACATATATATAGTTGTTTGCAGTTATTCCACTAAAGAATTATCTGCTCAAAACCTTCCTGACGGGAATCATTTGCGGTCCAAACATTTAAAAACACCTCATGTTTCACCAGATAAAGTAAATATTAGAAGAAAATGAATACAAGTGAGCAGAACAGCGGTATTTCCGTCTTTCCTCCCTGATAATTCATCATAAGAAAGTCTAGAATCTCAAAACAGATACTCTGTTTCACGATTCTTGTGTTTGCACTTCAGTAAAGTTCAGGGACCTCTGGTTAGTCTCAGAGTGTTGATCCATTTTAAGTCAGTCATTTTTCGATACTTTGTGGTTAACACAATACAAGTTTAAAATAAAACCTCAAATCTTCAGTCATATTTTGCAAAATGCTGCCACAAGCGAAGAAATGTGGAATTGTTGCCTCTGTTGGCAACATTTCTGTACTTGTGAAATGAAGACAGTGTGAATATTTGGTGTGTAGGACTGTATTTTGATTTACATGGAATTGAAACAGGTATTCAAAGTTTGTTTTTTACTAGAATCGTATACAAGTTTTAAAAACTTGACATGTGACAACTCTAATTCCTTTGCATCAGAATAACAAAGTCAAACCCTTGGACTGCAGTCAAAAGAGCAGAATTTACTCCCCAACATGGCAGTGGGCCCAGTTAACACACACCCCCTCCTTCATCACTTTGGCAGCAGCCTGTACGTTTAAGCTCTCAGCGGGCTCTGGTATCCTCTCAGAGTGACGTCTGAGTGGATTGTCCGTCTCAGAGTCCTCTCTCCTAAGCAGCAGGAGGGAGTGGACGGATAATTTTCACAGCCCCTTTCCTATTCTCACACGGCTCAGTGTTCCAGGGAGCCTTTTTAGCTGCTGGCTACTCAAGGCCGTCACCCCCCTGCGGGTGTGAGAGGCGCCTGAGGAGAGGAGTCGTCCTTTGGAGTCAAATTTTTGAAAACGTCTTGACTGACAGGCGAGGAGGACACCGTCCTCGAGCTGGACCGAACAGAGCTCCCCTGGCAGCTCTAAATTGGATTCATTTCAGAGTCTCACTGAGCACTAGACCATCTCCCCCCTCTCCTTCTCGCTCTTTTATTAGCCCGAGTAGAAATGCTAGAAGCTTTTTTTCTGTCTCTTTTTATTGCAGTCTTATTCTGCTGAACTCCTCATTCTTTAAGCATGACATTTGAGCTGTTCTGGAGCTTTAAAAAAAAAAAAACTCATGTACTGTACATGGCTCTCCAGTGCAGCACTGTGTAATTTTAACATCGAGATACGATATGATACAACAAGGAACGGTACGGTATGTTACAACTCTATCTGCTATGATACCATACAGTAATGGTAAGATTAAATATTCAACAACTGAGATTTTTTTCTAGATTTTAATCGTGGAGTTTTATGTTTGGACAGTAGCAGGAAGGCACAGAAACGAGTCACACTTTCATCTTAACTGTGTCTCTCACTGTGTTTAAATAATGGATGAAGCTGAATAAATAAATGACCTATTCAGTGATTCCTGCAGGATAAATGGAGCACTCTTAAAGGACATGGTTTAAGTTTTAATAATAATGACTCAGGGGTACTGTGGTGTGGTTTTAACTCATAAGGAAGTGATGTTGTAAAAAAATTGTTGTTTTTTGTCAGTTGTAGTAAAGCACTAAAATCGTCAAAAATATACAAACTTACTTTACTCTAGACATATGCCTGTTGAGGATAGAGTACAAAATGATATGTTAATGTAAAAGGAATTATGGATAGTTAGTTACACTGCATTAAGTGCAATTGCCTCAAAGCAACAACAATATGGAGCCATTATAGCTCCCTTTACAGTGAGACTTTAATCCTGTAGATTTACACAGAACAACTATAACTGTGCAAAGTCAAAATAAGAAATATCATGAACTTTACCTGCATGTGCTGCTCTTCTGCATGACTTCAGCCCTGTGGAAGCCAGACAGTTTGCAGAATCCGTCATTGCTGTACACTACAGGCCACTCGACGATCTGGGCGTTTCCCAGGAGGAAGCTGGTCTCTGAAAGACGGAGAGAGGACAGAGAGAAGACATCAGCTTCCAGTGATCAATAATGGAATACCGACAAAAGGCTGCAAAGCTTCTCAGCCTCTGGAGAAGATTACAAAGACATGTAAGAGCGCTCTGGGTCAGTTCGTGTTTGGTCTATATGCTCGAGATGCCAATTAATACCAAAGAGACGCGGACATTACTGTAAAGACAAGTTATGAGCCTGACAGGTGAGCGAAGCTACAATACAGTCAACATCAGAGCTAAACTGGCCTTCAGATCAAAGTTCTGAAGCTTTTTTATTCTTCCAAATGCTTTTTTGTTTTTTTCAAAAACATGCAGTCAAACTCAACTTTTCAATTAACATAAATATGAGGTTCACAAACGCATGAAAATTTGGAAAATGAAGGAGGATGATTGTTAACCACTCTAGTGAACTGCACAGATCGAGTAGTTATTCTGCACGAGCTACAAGCAGCTGCAGTCGGATATAAAAACAGTCAGTCTGAACAGAGCACACGGTACAACATCTGCAAGGGGACATTCAGCCTTTTTTTCTTTTTCTCTGTCTTTCATAATAACACAGATTATTAATCATTCTTTGAATGTTCTGCACATGGTGGTAGCTTTGGTCACCATGGAGAATAATTGAGGTGGTTTTGACTGCTTAACAATTGATGATCCTGTATTCTGTATTATCAACCATTCCCCAAGTCCACTGAATCCATTTTTAATTGATGAAAATCAATTTACTAACACGAGAATTTTTTTTTATTGTATTTAAAGGAAAATCCTCTGATGTCTCACTTTTGTAGCTTTGGCCAAAGCGTTTATAATTTAGCTTAATGGTTATGAGAATATAAGAATATATGTGAAGAAAAAAAGTCATGCAGATTATCTTTAACAGCTATATGGAGATGAAACTGAAGGCCAGTTAAATATGTTGTAAGTAATCCCTCTTTTCACAGGGAAACTCTGCATGGAGCAAAATATTCATCTGTAAACTGATGGATGTTATACAATGATTCAGTGTGCTGGTCTGTCTTTATTTTCTAAAAGGGTCTGATTAGCATTCAGGGGGTTTGTAAAAAAAAAAAAAAAAATCCAGGCTGGATCAAACTGAGATGAATTCAGTTACGAGGAGAGATGGCCTTCAATCGGAGCATTTAAGGACACTCAGGAGTTGATAGTCAGCAGTGGAACAATGAAACCCAAGAAGACTTCAGCAACTGAATCAAGAGTCTCAAATGGGGTGTCATTTAAAATCCCCAACAAGAAACCCAAAGAAAACAACACACAAACATAAGGAACAACAAAGTTTAAGCTTCTCTTTAGTTATTTTCAGATTCTTGGTTTACAATTTCCTAGAAGAACGGGAAGTACCAGCAAGGAATACTTTAAGCAGTTCTACAGAACTTGTGTTTTCAATTAAAATAATTAATTGTTCATTGTACGTTTTCTGCTGTCATTTTTTTGGAAGTCTTGCAATAATTCTTTGAAGGAATCAGTCTCAAACCACTCAAGCGCCATTGAATTGTCAAAAAGCCCAGACACCTGTTTCAGAAAACAGTCACGCTGAAATATATGATGCAAGGTTAATGCATTAAACAAATAAAACTGCCAGAAACGTATTTCAACATCTTCTAGATCTGTTGTAAGAGCCGAGTTTGCTTGCCTGGAAAGAGTGAATTTCAGGATGAAAAGACAGAAAAAGCTCTGCAGGTTTGACTTGTGCATGCCCAAAAACATCACATGCATGCAGCATTTCCCACTGTTCACTGTATGTTTACAGCAGGCAGGAAAATCAACTGAAACAGCAGTTAAAGTATAGAAATGCATATCCTTTCTGCAGTGAAACTGATGAATTCAGGTTAACACAGCTTTACAGCGAGAGGATTTAAACCCTCCAACAGCACATCCATTGATTTCACTGGTCAGCCAACTGATGACATAAAAAAATAGTAACTATAATAAAAATGTTCTTGCTGAAGTCAGGGGAAAAACTTCTATTATACCAGAAGTGGACACTGCAGTCCAGTGGATATCTGATTGTTAATAAAAGTACCAGTTTGTTCTTTTTATCAGAACAAGTGAGCACACACTGGGAAAAAATGCACATGGTATTTTAGGACATACAAGCACAGTGACCTTTAATGTGATGTTAATTATCTGCATGAAGGTGTGACAGGGGGCTGACAGTAAGACACTGAGACTTTAAACTATATCCTCCTCATTTACATTTTTTTTCTAGAAGAAGTTCAGAATTCTTTTACAGTACTTTTTGCCTAAATGTATGTCAAATTTGTTGTTGTTAAAATTTTTGGCCATGGGAAAAATACTTGTCATTGGGATAAGGACGGTGCTGACAATGCTTCCAGTGATGAAAATTTGCTAAGACAAACAGTAAGAAAAGACAAACTAGAATTAAAATTAGAAAATTCTCTCTCCTCTATGAATTTAAAGCTCATAAATAATTGTCTCAATTGCTCCTTACAAGCTAAGAGAACTCGTCGTACTTTAGTCTTATTCTTTTACCTGCCCTTAATCCTCTTCCCTTTCTTCACTCCTGTTCAATAACCGATCTATAAGATGGTTTTCCAACCTGCAATAAGCTCCAGAAAAGTTGGAAAAGAACAGTAATTTTGTCCTCTTTGTCACTATGGTGACAAAGTGCTATTCACGGGGTGTAAATGTGTTAGGGAAATAAACCAGCTTTGTGATCATTATGCCGTGACTAAAGACTAATAAATCAATCGAGACATTATTGAACTGAAAATAAACCACACATCCCCTCAGTGCATTTTCACCTAATTGCAGCCAGAAAATCTAACAAAGTCCATGTTGATCTGATGAAATGTACGCCAATCCTTACAGTGTGGAGCTGTGCCTGTCAAGATACTATATTTTCCCTGGCTGATTCCAGGGGCAAAACTGTATATTTTCTATTCCACAATTGGTAAGAAAGGAAAAGAGCAGCCAGTATCGTGAGATCACCATGGAAATATCTTGTTACCGAGGAATAGAAATGTTCATTATCTTACGCTGACTGATATGTGCATGTCATTAACTTGACATAAAAAGTAGGTTGAGTTTTCAAGATGAAAATGTAATTCATCACAATAAACATGTTTTGAATCTCAAGATATTTGTATATCTGAGGAGAAATACCAGAAAAACAATTACTTAATGTTTCTCTGAATGGCCCCTTTACCTGTGGGGTTCCTCATGGCTCTGTTTTGGTGCCTTTTCTGTTATATCTAAGCTTCCTTCTGGTTCCTCTTACAAGGAAAAACAGAATCTCTTTTCACTGCTTTGCAGATAACACCTAAGTTTATCTCCTGCTTATATCCACAGCTCTACGTTACAACTCCTGTTTGGCTGCTTTCAAAATATCAAAGACTGGATGGCCCAAAACTTCTGAAACTTAAGCAGCAGATATTTGAATAAAATCTGGTTTTCTGATTTCTGTGATTTTAGTACAGTCTGGTGTGTGGCTCAATAATTGGTAACCATTGATCTGACATTTTTGGCTTTAATCACTTACTTTCAAGTGCTGACATGGCAATCCTGATCTTGGATAAAACAATAAGAGGTAACCACCGTTTGTTTTCTCAAAATGAAGCGGTTGAATATCTTGTTCTTGAGATACCCTAAATAACATCTCGTAATAATGCAATTTAGTTCAAAAATAATGCATGTCCTCTTAATGTAGTTATTTTGAATGTTTCAGCCACTGCTGAAAAGTCAGCAGTGGCTCACTTTTCTTATTCACATCTCAAAGCAAATCACACAAGTGCAGTGCATTGGGTCACAACTTGATAGGCAGCAAACAGATGAGGGGGAGATGAGGGTGCTGGATTGTTCTGCTCCCTTTTCAAACATTTGCAAATGTGATTATTTTTTTTGCACAAAAAGGAACTTCACTGTTACTTAAATTCATCACTTTCTTGTGTTAAGCCTAAATTAGGCCTCCTGTTGTCTCCTGTGTGACTTTTGAATTGTAGAACTAACTTAGACTTAACGCAACACAAAAAAAAAACCTCCAGTCATCTTGACCTTTTATTTTCTCCACTTTCTTCACAGCCAATTACTTAGCTGGACCAAGGTTCGACCATTCAGGCTGCCCAAAGATTGATTTCTGCATTGACGAAAGTGTAGACACCTCTGAAACAGTAAACCACCATTAATTACATTACATCCTAAAATGTACATTACTTAAGCAAAATATTGAATTTTTTCGAAAATGTACTTAAATTAAACGTAAGCGCTTTTTGTGGGCAAAATAGATGTCAAATCTCTATGTTTTCTATACATACTTGATCTGCTTTTGATTCATGGAAATCAAAAGCAGACATAGACATACCACCAAGTCCTCAAACTAAAAACAAATTAAAACGTTCTCTCTGGGGCACAAGTAGTGTAGTGGTTAGTGCACACCTCATGTACAGAGACTGCGGTCCTTCAAGCAGGTGGCCCGGGTTGGATTCTGACCTGTGGCCCCTTTCCAACAAGTAGTTCCTAACTGTCTCTCTCCCCGATTTGTGACCCTTTTACTGTCCTGTTGCTAAATAAAGGCCTACAAAGCCCAACAATAACACCTTAAAAAAAACAGTTCTCACTCTGTGTTTATAGGTATCATGACACCTAATTAATATAAATATATATGTAAAATACGCTCTCTCACAAAACTAATCCTTGAGAACAGAGAAAGGTCAAACAAACATCTAAATACCTCGTCCATGGTTTAAGTCCAAAGATTACAAAACCTTTCTGACTTAAGCATCTGATGATCTGAGGCCCCCCAAAAAGTTCCACAATCTGGACGTTGTGAACGCTTCACATCCAGCTAATTGCTTCGGGACTTCTCAGGCAGACAATAAAACAACAGATCACTACGACTCCAGCCCCGTGGCTCTCCAATTAGCGCTGAAACGCCCCGAGAGATCAGCGCAGCAGTCTCGTGCCTATCCCAGAGGCACAAACACCGCGATGACACAAACAGACACGTTTCTAGAAGCATCTTTTTTTCCCTGACCTTAACTCCGAGTACTCAGCAAGCCTGCACCCGCATCCGCAGCCCTGCATGACTTTCATTCCGGCCAACATACTCCGCAGAGTTTTCTGGGAAGACAACAGAAAGCAATCCATCTAATCAGAGTTAAGAGCGCGTGTTTCTCAGGCCGGTGCCAAGTCTGGCGCAGTATATGGCGCAGATGGACCCTGATAAAACAAAATACCAATAATTCATCCTGGTATAATACTGAACACATTTAGATGATGAATGGGCGTAGGTGAGCAGTTATTCATTTCTTTCCTCAGAAATCACTCAATTACTTCTCAGCCCCTCACTTTGTTTGCATAAAATAAAACGCAGCTCTACATACAGGCGGATCGAAACTAACCAAGGCTATTTCAGTAACGCCTCCCTGCTCACGGAGACAGGTTATTAAAAATGATGGCATTAGGAAGAGGCGGTTTAATTCAGAGGTAGTGATCAGAGGGCTCCAACTGAACGGCTGCAGGTTTATAAACACAACCTGGCGACTTAATAAAGAAAAATACTATTTTGATCTTCAATCAACTCGTCTTTCCGCTCTCAAGATTGAACCCATTATATCGAGGGACAAGTGACGTAATTTAATCTGTAAAAGTCAGACACAGAATAAGCACATTGGGAATAAAACGGTGCGTAAACTCCCTCTGAGCATCTTGAGGGAAACAACCATCAAAATGAACACAAATTGTACACTCTTTCCTCAAAACTGAAATGTGCGCTTCTCCCAGTGAAATACCGTCCCTTGTCATAACTTAGATGAGTTGAACGCAACTTATTAAAGTGTTTAAAGCCATAAACGCTCGTAAACAGAGAGGGTAAATTCCATGATTGAAAAATAAGTGTGGGCACAAAGTAAGATTAGGTGGTTTTATTTCCACCCAACCTCCGTGGCAGCACTGGCAGGCTATAACATTGTATTCCAGCAGAGTCCGGGTCAACGTGAAACCAAAGCACCCCCAAGATAAGCCTCTCTCCGGCGCGCGGACTCACCGCTTGAACGCCGGACGATGTTCTCCAGGAAAGTGTTCTGCGGTGCCACAAGCCCTCTCTTTCCCCCGGGCATCCTGCTGCGGGCGGGCGGAGCTGGTGTCGGTCCGGGTCTGTGTCGTAGTGTCTTCTGCTCTGTGGTCGGTTCTGACGCTGGCTCTCAGTCGGGCCGATGGAGAAGAAGCTCATTGTAACCGTGCGCTCTGGCTGCTCGGGGCGCACTGAGCCACGGCGGAGGCGCTGCATTCCGCTGCCACACCAGAGCGCCAGGACGCATGCGTGTGAATACTGCTGTGGGCTCGGTCCCCCAAATTTTACGTGCTGTATGTTTCTTAGTGTACAGACAGGTATGATGGGTGCAATGTTTAAGATTTTTCTTTTATATCAGTTAAAACATTTATAAGAAATGTCACATTGATTTTTGTTCACCACAAAATATTCCTTGACCTAAAATTGTTGTTTGCGTGACAATAAAACACGGCACTCAGAGTTTTCTTGAACAACTTTAATTCTTTATTTAGACCCTCACATGCGATCAACGTGAAATAACTGATTCTAATGATATCCATAAATAATTACGTTAACTAATAAATGTTAACTGCAACCTATTTGATTTCAGTAAATATTAAATATGAAACATTTTAACTGTAAAGTATTAAAGTAATCCATGATTCCCTCACTTGAATGTTATGTAATGCTAATTAACTACCTGATAAAATACAGGAAAAAAAATGCAGTTTGCAGTCATGCAAGTTATTGAAGTTATTAATGAATGATTTCTATGATTTACTCAAGTTTGTTGTTGTCAATATTAGTTCATTGTTGCTATATTCATCACTAATTGTTGTGTATTATCTGTCTGACCCATATAAATGTAAATTTAACATGTAAATTTGTGGTTCTTAAAGTGAGGTTTCATATGACTTTCTAGTCTGGTACAGTGACTTGACTTGACATTTTATCATACAGTCATTTGTTTTTTTTTTTAAAAAGTAAATCCCCTGTTTCCAGTGATAAAGCCAATTGCGTCCTGACTCCTGATCAATGTTAATGCATACATAAACGTGGCATCAACCAATCTTACATTTACAAAGAATATAAATTATGATATTGCCCAGAATGCTCAGCAACTCATTTAAGAAATTGACCACAGGTGTAAGCAAAATTTCCTGATTCAAGGGGATCAGATTTCCATGAAGAGGTATTTAACAAATAACTGTTTTCTTACGATGAAGCAGTGAAAACCTTTTTTTTTTTTCTGAACAGGGGTCTCTCATGAATGCTAATTAGAGTGTATGAAGGGTTAACGGGGCCCCTGAGAGCCGAAGGCATCAACCATAGCAACCAGAGCTCCGTGCAGGACATCAACACATTTTATCTACTGTACCATTTATTTTACTTTAAACAGTTCTTAATGAAAGGATCTAAATTAATGCTTGAGGATAGAATGATGACGCAGTATTCTGAAACTCTAGTCGTATGCATTTCATTTGAAAGCACTCGGTCCCCCCCCCTTCTGAAATTGGGATTGATTTTGACAATTTGAATGGAGTTGTGATATTACTAAACCTCATAGGATTAAATAGGCCTACACCATAATACTAAAAAGAAATGCCAAAATGAACCATTAACTCAAACATAAATATTATGTGAACATTAGTCAGTTGACACCCTTTCCCTGAAGTTAAACTGAATCTCAAAGTCTCATTCACAAAGCTCTCATCTCATTTTTGCACCTGTTAACACCTGCTGATTCCCATCAGACGCCGTCAAGAAGACTGTCGACATCCCCTCAGCGTAGATATACAGCACTGTGTGTGTGTGTGTGTGTGTGTGTGTTCGTTCCAAAACGCTCCTGCGGGACGCTCCTAATTGGCCTAGTTGCATCATGGGGTATCAAACATATGTGACAGCGCAGGTCAGACAGCTGCCATCTGCTCCAACAGACTCATCTCTGCAGACTCTCTCTCTCTTACATTAACTGAATGTCCCTCTCCCTCTCTCACTGTGGGAATTAATGTATAGAGGTAAAGTGAAAGCAAAACAACTGTTGGAGTAGTCTTGATGTAATGATGGGAGATGGCTTTATTGATATGGATGGATAGAACAAATTTGTCCTGCTCATGGGAGACAATTATACTGGGCCCCTTTTCTGCCTCATAGATACTTCCTAGCTATAGGTAGCACCATGTTGGGTTCATAGGCAGAAATGCAAGAAGAGAGTGGTATTCCCAAAGAGGTTAAGTGTACACAAGAGGTCAAAATCTGCACGTTTTATGCAATATACTTCAAGGCAGTAATTCCCAAAGTGGGCCCCTAGGGACGGGGCTGATGTTATGACGGGAAGGCGGAAAGGCTAAATTAGGACAATGCACACTGTTTTCAATACTAGCAAGAATTACATATTTTGTGAGAAGACTTCCAGGTTAATGTAAGGCTGACAATGAATCTACACCAGCGATCAGAACTACTAAAACAAAGACAAAAAATATGACGAGTCATATCTCGACCTCAGCTTCACCTGTAAAACGAAGGGTAACGACTAGAGCCACACTCCCTTTTGCCACAACCATATCTGTGGGAGATCGGATTTGTAGTCGTCAAGATCAATGCAAAATAAAGATCAAATCTGGACGCTGAAAATGAACAAAGAGTGGCAGTCTCACAGCACCCCAAACCTCATATGATCTGGGCTTGAAAATATTTTCGTCTGCCAAAAGGGAGGCCTACCAGATAAAGTTTGGTTCTTTACCAAATGCAAGGTATAGAAAAGGTAATAGCTACACAATAGTAAAACATATGTCCTAAAAACCCTGTCAACCAGATAGATTCAACAGATATATTGAAAAGATATTATGAAGGAATTTGCCATGTCATGAAAATTGAAGCCACTTGAGAAACTAAATCTGCTTGTGGCTAGTTCATAGATTTGGTCACTTGGTTTAGAGTAGGTCACAGATTGTTGTCTTGAATTTGTTAAATATGGAAAAAATTAGCTTAAATGTTCTCCATATTGATGTTAGTATTGTTAAGATTTCATAGAAACATCTTCTTTGTAATTAAATTGTGCTATGATGATTTAGCAACATTTGAGACTTTCCTGCCAGTAAAGCATTGAATGAACTGAACTTAATTCAAATGCTTTTATTGCCGAGCCTGAACGCACATATGCTCAGGATGCACAAGTGTTATACCCTGTATGCCCCCACATCTTTGTATTTACCCAGTCATTACATAAATAATGCACTTCAACCATGAGAAAAAGGTAAATTAAATAAGCAAAAAGACATAAAACAAGACACTGGTGTGTGCTGCCTCCCACTCTTCTACTACTTTACACTCTGTAAAATCCTGACTGCTGGCTGTTTAGATGTTATATTTTTGTACTTAAATACTTAAGACATAAAGCTCCATACTCTGTGTTTGTGTTATTCACCCAAACAAAATTAGAAAATCTCTAGAGAAAAATATCTTTGTGTCCAGTTCTTTTACTACGGATAAACAGAGGCTGCTTTTTAAAAGCGATCATCATTTTAAAAGAAAAAGAAGCACAACTGAGTCCATACTAAACCAGTTTAATTTTAGTGATTCATGAATTTAATTTTACATTTTTGTTGTATTGTTTGTCTTCGTGGAGCGAATACAATAAGAAGTTCAGGTGTGTGAGATCCCACATGAATAAGCACTAAACTAAAGTACCTTTGCGGCGAGTTAACTTCAGAGTTTTTCAAATAACTATAACCGCTGCACGTGTCTCAGACCAGCCACACAGGACAACAGGAGCTTCCCACCAGGGATTTGATGACTATAATCACTCTAATTACTCCACATCACTAACCCCCAATTATACCCAATCAGCATTCAGCAGGCGGGCCGACATTGTTCATGTGGAACAGGCGCTCATGGCCACCAGCTTCAGAGGGAGCCGCATGCCAGACGTTGAGCCTGATTAACTTATTTGTAGATGCAATAGGAACTAAGAAACTTGTGGAAATCACCTCATCATCTGCATAAAAACACTCACAAAAACAACTGCTGCATTTTCAAGATATAACGCAGATGTTCTGTTTCTTCAGCAACTTTTAATCTAAGCATTAGTTATTATTAGCTGGTCCATGAGTAGAAAATGAGTTAATGTCACATGGAGATCAAAGGCAGTTCTGGGACACTGCTGATGCCTCATTTGTGGTGTGGAAGTGGGAAGAGAAGGGGGAAAGAGGTATTGAACCCCCCGAGTCGATCGATGCACCGCCTCCACATCTGGAGAGAGACATCGCTCCACCCCTCACATTGATCTAAGAATTAATTAGTCCAGTTTCCACCAGTGCCGACTGTCTGCACACTGGTCCTAAATAAAGAAGAGGTTGAGTATCATAGCTTTTAACACATAACTAAACCCCAACATCAGTGCCTCAGCTGAACTCCCAAACACTAAACACCAGACCAGATTTCATTGTACTGCCAGCATGCTAAGAGCTCCAAAAAAGGGTTTATTCGCTGGGGGGGGTCTGTAATGGGACATTTAGTGGTGGAGAAATAAGTCTTAAATGTCTGACGGGTTGCAGTGAGTCTTGGAATAGCAGAGGGGTATAGTGGTAAATGGGTTTTGTCTATTACAGGCATGTGTCAGTTGTGTTGCAAATCTGCAATGCCAGGGGAACAGCCTGAGGTCTATATAGTACAAGTCAAGTCAAGTAAAAAGGCTCCAATCCGTCATGGATAAAGGCTGCTCTCTTGCCTGGATTAACTTGTTAGGGGGCCTCAGGTGGAAAGAAATGCAGTTGGGTACCCTTTGAACCCAAACATCAGTGTTTGGGCTTTTTTTCCTCCTGCACTGCTCCTAGGGTTAGGTTATGATTTACAAATATTAAAATCCATTAATTAAAAAAAATGTTTACCAATTTTTCATGTTACCAATCTTATCTTAAAATTATATTTTCCATTATTTTCACTGGCACTGGTTGTAATGTGGTACTGCTGCCAGACGTGGAGACCTCGATGATAGGCTTAAGTTTCTTTTTTTGCTCTTCTGTACACCACCAGCAGACTTATTTTGAAATCAGAAATGTATTTTCT